ACTAACAAACTGACAAAATCTTTCGCTGTCTATAGCCGGGTACCCATTCCCACCTGGGTGAAGTGAGGAAAATTCGTGTAACGTGCCTTTCCCAAGGACACAACGTCGGGCCCTTGACAGGATTCGAACCCACGACCTTACGGTTGCGAGTCCGAGAGCCTAACCACTAGGCCACCTCCTTTTATCCCTGGTTTCTATCGTGCTGTATGAACGTACACTGTTTGCCTTTAGTCCAGATTTGATTTCGAGTTGGGTCCAGGTTTTCCTATTTCTTCGATGAGTACTTTTCTTCTCAGGTCAGTGCCCTTAAAAAAACTTTAGAGTCCAGAAATCCATAATGCATTCCTTCTTACTGACGTGTTTTCAAATTTTACTTGTGATTTTTAAAAATGCTTTCCTGCCCTTTTCCCGACTCTGGCTTATTTTTAGCGCCTGCTATTGAGTACGAAATCAATGTTTTGACAAAGCAGAAAATGGATGGCTGTAAACAGTGCGTGGACCCTAGTGTGTAAAAGAAGGCGAGCTGAGATGATAACCCAGACAAATTTGATAAAATTGTCGAAATTTTGTCGGAAACGCCCTCTTTGTGCGATCATCGGACAATGATATTTTTACTTGCTACAGATGGATGGATGGATGGATGGATGGATGGATGGATGGATGGATGGATGGATGGATACCCAATTGCGAAGTCTTCCATCGCCATGTCTTTTAAGCACATTTAATTTAGTTTTGCTGAAATGTATTTTTCTTTGACTGTTTTTCACGTTTCAACGGTCTACTAAAACAGAAACAAACAGTCTTACGTCAAACATGAAAATGATTAAAAACAGTTAATTCATTTAAAGAAACGTCGTTATCGAAGGCTGATAATTACATTTCAAAAAGCTAAAGAGAAGAACGGGGAATTTAGCTCTTACGGAGGATATAGCTCAAATAAGCTAGGCAAACATACCTCAGGGGCATGCATTTCAAACATCACTTTAAAAAAGGAGGACGGGGGGGCTAAAAAAGATACATGATATTTATGTGATGCCACTCCGGCTTTTGCGGTGGCGAGCATCCCCGGCACAAAAATAATTCCTCCCCAGAACATGTAATCCATCGGCGCCAATTCTGAGAATCTAGCGAAATGGCTCACAGATTTAACGAAAACAAATTTCTTTAGGAATCTGATAATGAACGCAAGAACATGTACGTGCAAAAACCCGGCCGATACACACATATGTAATTGAAAGCTTCATCAGACCGGGGTGCACTTGCTGACAGCACAATTTCTGGTGATGCCTGTTTGGCTTGAAGACAGGCCGACGACACACAGTATAATTTATAGATAGTTGAGAGAGGGGAGAGAGAAGGAGAGGGAGAGAGGGGGAGAGAGAGATG